AAAAAAATATATATATAAAAAATATAATAATAATAATTTTTTTATGGTAATATTTTTCACGCATTCTTGTAATTATCGAAAATAAACAGAATGTTTAATCAATTTTAATTACACTTCAAAGCAAATTACAAAACAAGGATGGATACGGAGATAGTAAAATTGTAATTTGTCAAAAAGAATGGTATTTTGGGCGGAGAATTATTCGTAGAAAATTATAACTTGTATTCGTTTTTAAACGTTTTTAATGTAATAAATCGTAGCGATATTTAATTTAAACGTATACAAGAAGTGACTAAAATACAAATCGGATCGAGAATTATATTATATTGTTTTATAAGGATCGTAATTTTCTATAGTTTTAGTGGTGTAAGGGAGTCACAGACTGTATTAATCAGTCTCTATAGCTGTATGAAGTCTATAAATCAGTCAGTCCGTCTCTTACTCTTGGGCTTTCAATTCTTCCAATCGAGCTATCGTCTTCAATTTTAGGTTGAGTAGACAACGTGTCAAACCGAATTCGTGTCATTGCCGTGAATCATTCCGTTAAAGGTTCTCTATATAGGCTATTTTTCTATACTTTTTTAGAAGAATAAAATGCTTCGGGGGGAACCTAATTAAATAGTTCCTTTTCCTCTCGGTCTTTCCCATTATTCTAAATCGATAGCTATTCTTGTAATTTTAGGTTAATAACAAAGAATGTCTTCAAATGTATAAGGAGTTTGTTTGTAGAAAAGAAGTAAAAATGTCGCGATAATAATCGTATTTAACGAAATCTTAACAAATGTACTAATTATAATAAACACAACGAAGGAAAACAAATAAAAAATGGACGTCCACCCCCGCTCCTGATCCGATGCAATAGAACACGGGAACAAAGGAAAAGTGCTGAAGAGGATCTGATCAATTCCACTTTCGGTAACAGATTAAAGCCAATTAACGTAAAAATAGTGGTGAGTATTAACTATATTTTTGTTGTTACGATCCTGTAACGTATTACCAGAGCAGGTGACGGGGCCGGTTACAAGCGTCGGTCATTTAGTTAGCCTTTAGCGTGTCTAGCTTGGTAAGTACTTAGAGCCAGATGTCACCAGGAAGACGTGGTTGAGACTAGGGCCGATAATAGGGCAATAAAAGTCTTGTATTAGAGGATAGAAAAACGACGGTACAAACTTTTCTGTGATCGCGTACTAACAGCGACCTATGACAGAAACTGTTTTATTGCTGTCAAACTCCTAGCGAGTGGTTTGCCAGTAAAACCGAGCGATGCAAAGGAAGGGAGGGTAAGAAGTCTCTTGTTTTGCATACGAAATTTAGAATTCATAAGATATTCTTGCTTTCGATTCGGTAAATAACGGAAAAGAATGTTTGGCCCCGGGCTTAGCTTTTGCTAATGGATAAGAGAGTATATCTTAGTCCGGACGGCCGCATCTTCCATTTGTCGTTCGCTCTATGTAATGGAAGATGGTAGAAGGTTAATTATATATCGTAGAAGATACTGATCGGTTAGATGCGGTTTCCGATTTCTTCCAGGAACTTTTTTTTTTCTTTCTTTTTCCCCAGCGAAAAGAAACGATTGACGATAAAATTAAATGAGACGGTAATATCGAGTCCCAAATCTATACGAGTCGGTAATATTGCGGAAAATAGTTGTTACTACTAAAGGATATATATGCTATACATACGTATAAATCACGGAGTTTTTCGATAAAACTTTACAATTCGCTAACGCTAACACAACTAATTAATCCTTGTGGATCTTTACTTAAACGAATTACCTTAACTAAACGCTCGTATAGGAATTTCATTTCTAAAACAAACGCCTATTATTTTATATTAAAAAAAAACTTATTCTTATTAATTCTTATTACACGTTCGTATAGCCTAAATAATTAAAATACGTTGAGTATTGGTTTATGTTTTAGTCTACTCTTATAATTTTAAGGCACGGCACAAAATCTATTGTCGAAACCAAAGGAAAATGAAAACTTTGGGGATATTTTAATTCACTATAAACAATGCAATTTTCCGAAACGAAATTTGATTTCATCGGAGATGAAAATCTCCCTCGGGTCACTTTGAATTCAATGTTGATATTATATAGTCTACTTGAGATCTAATGCAAATCAGTTTCCTATAAAGGTATACAATTTTTTACCGTCATTTTCTATTTATTATATAACTATAAACAAGCTGAATGACCCGTTATATAACTTAACAGGAAGCTAAACTTTTACGTACGTCTACCGGATGATTAAATTACCTAAAAAAAAAATTAAAGTATAATTTTTCGATTTTTTAAATGATATTAAATAGTACTAGATAAAACGTGTGTTCTATTGTTTTTTTCTGAACGAGCAAAGAATGAATACTGATTATTACAAAATGCAACAATTTAACTTCTCCACTTAAGAAATATATTTATATCCTTTTAGTAATTAAGAGTTTAGAGAACTAATAATTAAATCCCAATTTTTATTTTTTGATCTTTCCCCATTCTTTCTTTCAGTCACTCTCTCTCTCTCTTTTTTTAATTATCTTATCTTTTGAAGAGATGTTCCGCGCCGTTATTATTATTATTATTTTTTTTTATATCTTTTTTTTTTTTCTTTTCTCTTTTTAGATCTTCGTTACCGTCCGAGCCCCAGAGAGCAATTAGACCAGCCATTTTCAACCGCCAACCAAACTCCCTGCGGATAACCAAACAGTAAGGTTAACCGCTTCCCATCGTGTGTATTGTCGGGTCATTTGTCTTCCAGCCAGCAACCGGAGGGCCAGAATACTCGGACTTGGTCACTAATACCTATATTACGGACGTAGGCTGCCTTAACAATAGCGCAGGAAACTATATAAGAGCTATGACATTCCTCGATTGAGTCGTGCTAGGTAATAATCGGATCCTCCTTAATAGAGTCGAGCCCGCAATCAGATTCTCTTTTTTAACAAGGTGTTTAAAGCCGTAAAAGCTTTAAAATTAATGAAATATTTTCTGATTTTGCTAGAAATCAACGTCTTTAACTAATACGACGGAATAAGAATCAAGAAAGCTAACTTATTCGAGCAAAAGCAAGCTGTTATGTAACGATATAATACCTAGAAGTATTTATATCTTATAGAAAAGTACTGTATTAAGATTTAAAACTCTTAGTGTTAAGCCTGTTTACGGCAAATAATAACCCATAATGGGTATAAAATCAATATTCTGGATTCACTTTTTAAAAAAAAATCAGGCACTTTAGCCACAAATATGAGCCTGGATAACTGTCGACCGCTATTTAGAGATAGCGGCAAGGATGTATAAAAGATCAAGTTCTCTTTAGCGATAGTGTCGAGCTTGTATAATACATCAGGCCCTGTTTAACGATAGTGTCGAGTCTGTATAAAAGTTCAGGCAATCCTGGATAGAGTCGAGAGCGTATACGGTGATCCAGTTTCACCCCTGTAAAGGCGTCTCCAACTGTAAGACACGGTAGCGAACGGAAAAGCGAGACTCTCCAGTCGGATTTTTAACTCGAGGAACCATAACAATAAATCAGAATTGCGAATCATCAAAAAATAATAATAAAATAAAAAAAAAGAAAAGGAAAAGAAAAAGAAAAATAGCATCAAACAATTACATTCGATAGAGAAGCGTGAATTGGTGGATCGACTACAGATGTTCCGTACGTAAGCCGATCGCAAGGGGTCAGTGAAGAATCGATGGCCAGTCTGCTGAGTCAGTGAAAAACCATCTAACTTTATACACGGCGACTGAAAACATAAATTTCCGATCATTCGGCTACCGACAAGCTAAGCACATTTCGGCTATATTTGGTTGCACTCAGCATCGCGGACTATTGAATAAATCAGCATTAAACGCTGATGAAAATTTAATGCTCGAAGCAACGGCACTGAAGTAGCATGTTTATAGGTATGTTTTATCAGCAGTGTGACTGCGGCTTGCACTCATAAATATTGATTTCTCCAAGAATAGTCTCCCGACCCGTGCTCCGCCTTCGACTGCTACGAAAAAAAAAAAAAACGAAAAAAAAGGGGAGAAAAAAACGGCGGAGTTACAGGGGACGGAACATGAAAATATGATCAATTGTTTCTAATTGCTATCAGTACGGAGTTACCTTCCCCGCTGCTAGTTATAGCCGTTATTATTGTGGAGAGTTGGCACACCAATGCACTCCATTTGTCACTAAGTCTACCTTAAGAATGTATGGCCGATCCTTCTCTTTACTTTTTTCTTTTTCCCCTTCTTCGCTTCTTTCGATGGCTAGGCAATCAGTCCTCATTTCTTCTTATTTGTAATCTTGTCCTCTGGGTGAATTTGTAAATGGTGCCGAAAGGTTGGCGAGTACTTTTTTGAAAAAAAAAACAAACACGATTTTTTTATTTTATCGTTAAGCGAGTAGCTTAGCTAAAAACGACAATTTGTCTGCCTTCCCTCTGTCAGGATACGGCTACTTTCGACGCGCTACTTCTTCCACTAGTTATATATAACTTATAAAGAAGAAGAAGAAGAAGAAAAAAAAAACAAATGAAATACTACAACTAAAAATTACCCTAGCATAAAACAAAAAAAAATATACAGAGAATAATTCTTATAATCCAATAGTTTAAGCTTAAAAATTTCTCCAAAGACTTAAAACTACTAGGCCTACTACAGAAAAAAAAAACGTTTCTTAGGCCCATCATTTTATGCTTAGCGCTATCAATTTATACGATAAAAAATAATGTATAAAAGATCAAACTTATAAAAAAAAACGTGGCCTAGGATTATAATTTTATATATTTAAAAAAAAAAGTATAAATTTACTTCCTAAAAATGAAACTTGAATTAGATGATGCTACGGCTCTTCGGAGAAAATAATTCCTAGTCGGAGAGGGAGGGGGAAAAACTATATTCCGATTAAAAAAAAATATATATATATATACTAAATTTATATCCCCCCTGTATTTAAAAAGAGAAAGAATATTTGCAGAATATACATTTGTTATCAACTAATAAAAGTTTTGCTTGCACGACGAACGAAAATTTAAGTGTTATACACTGACTTATAAGCGAGCAACGAGAATAAGTTTTTATTATTTCATACATAAATTTTATTACGTATAAACAGAGTGTAATAAAAAAACAACTATACAAGAATAAAGCTTACAAATGTCTTCTTATTGTCTAAAATTTAATAACGATAAAAACTTTATAATTTCCGAAATTATAACGTATATATATATATATATAAAAGAAACCCCTCCGTTTTTTTTTTAAA